GAACATTAATATACGATACTAAATTATATTGAATGGGTCATAAAATCAGGGCAATATTAAAGCTGAAAAAATCCAATAAAATTAAGTGGACGATTATGTAATTATAATGCATAAAATATTTATGAAGAATTCTTTTAACTATATTTTAATGTAAAATTTAAGCACTGTCTACATAAAACTGTTAATTCATTTCTTTGATTTAGCAGAAGCTTATTTTTAGGAACTTTATAATATGCAGCTTTTCTTGTAAACACAAGGGACATGGGTCATATAAGAATTTACAGATTCTTGTTTTTTTAATATTTTCTATTTAGCCTTAGGAGTTTTACTAATTTCTTTTAAATGCCAAAAGTATTTAGAAAGGGATGTTCAGTTATGGTAGGCATTGTTGCTGAAAGAAGATATGTGCTGATACCACCTCAGTTTAAAGAGATTTTTTTTGTACTGCCAATATAGAATTTCTTAACTGTTGGATTTTGATTAGATGAAACCGTACATTAATAAACAATAGATTCAGTAAGACAACTATTCTGTAATGGACATTCATTAGGATTTCTACAATTACATAATTTTTATCATTATTGTTTTCTGTTTTGGAATAATGATTGTTACTTTGGGGTTTTTTTAAGCTTTTCACCCCAAGTAAGGCTGGAGTGCCACTAGCACACAAGAGATTACAGAGAGTGGGAACAACAGGCATGAAAAAGGAAAGGATGAAGAGAATGACGAGGAAGAGATCAAGGCATCTGGAGATGTTGATTGACATTGCATTTGAATAGTTGGAGATTGTAGCTATCAGGGAAGCAAGTAAGAGGAAGGGAGTTCAGCAGATGGGAAGTGCAGCTATTGGAGTAGAAGAGACATCTACATTTAACCATTTTGGCAGTGGGAGGGTGGGAGTGAGATGCTGACATTAGTTCCATTTCATCCTCAAGCGAATTTTGGAGTAACTTATAAAATTACTGGGTTTTAAGTTACTCCAAAATTGAAATGGAACTAATGTCTTTAATTTAATTACAAAATTAAATTTGGACCTTCCATTATTGAAACATGGTTAGAACTGTGTAGCGGAAAAACCATATTTTAAATCAATTTATATATATATATATATATATATATTGGGTGAGCAATAGTATAGACAGAAATAGATATGGCAGCAGATTTGGCAGCAAGACTCCATTGTAACCCTTACACCTGTGTACTAGTGGCATTCTCGCCTTGCTTGAGGTGAAACGATTAAAAAAAAATAAACTGGAATCAAGTGATGAACAACTATTCCTGTTCAAATGGCTGGGGAGGAGTGTGAACTGGATGACAGGCAGACTTATCTACTCCTATTGAAAGAAATAAAAATGTAATTGAGTTTTGAATTTAGAGTTGTCTTTCCCCTAAACCACAGCTTATTCAAACAGATGCTGTGAAAATATTTTTTTAATTGATATCATCCCAAGCAAGACAGTACAATCACTAACATGCAAGGGGTTACAGGGTGTGGAAGAAATAGGAACAGAAACATTAGTAATGAGTAGAAAGAGAAATGAGTGTAGCGGACTTCACCACATTAATTTAACTTTAGATCAGGAAACAAAACTGACGTGAAAAAGGATAAGCAAAAGACATCATTACACATAAAATATGCATTTAACAGGATGTACAAGAATGTGAAAGAGGGCATGCATTGAGTAGAAAAAAAGCTTGAATAAAACAAGAGTTGTCTCTCTTTAACTATTATTTTGTATTCCAAAGTTCACTGAAAGAAAGTTTGTGATAGTTTCTTGTAATAAATGTTCTCAACAGTTTTGCTGTGTAAGAAAATATTATGTGAGTGTAAGGAATGTTCATCATGTAAGTGGTGATGTGAGTGAGAAGATTAGTGTATGGTTTCAACTGTCGTGGATTCGTTTGGCAGCTGAAATCTCACTAATTATCTAAGAATATTTCTCGCTTATATAGGTGACCATAGGCTCCAAATTGCTGCGCAAGAAGAGTTTTTCTTCGTGTGCAGATAATCTGATTGGTTGGCATTGACCAATCAGCGAGTGAGTTTTGGGGAGACTCAAGAAAGCTACTGGGATCCATTTCTCCCAAAAGTGAACAAAACAGACTGCATGAAAATAGAGCAATTACAAAATTGTTGCATTGCTGCGATTTGTAAATTGTCTATAATAATGTAGTCATGATTTATTAACCAATGAATGCTTGTTGTTGTATGTGATTTGAATTTGTGTATGTATGTATGTATGTGTGTGCGATATAGATCGACACAAGAGCAATCAGGAGAACAGTAGATAGTGATTGACATTGCATTTAAATTTTTGCAGATTAAAATTGGCTGGAAAGCGAGAAGTGTGAGAAAAGAAACTGTTAGTGACTTCTAACTAGCTGAACTGTAAATTGATGAGATCTCGCCACCAGTCTAGTATTGTGCTTGAATTCAAAAAGTCTCGATACCATAGTGAAGAGCTCATTCGAACAATTACCATGAAAGTAATTATAAAAAAGGCACAGAGAGGCAACTTTATGGCAGTGGGCAAGTGACTGAAGCTGAAATGCCAGATCAGGACCAATAATATTGCTGATTCTTCTTTGGATCTTATCAAAGAGCTTCAGGGTAATAGCAGGGGCACTGGACCATATATGGCAACAATATTCAAAACATGGGTGAATGATAGACTAATAGATATGCAAAATAGATTCTGGAGAGAAAAACTGTCTCGTCTGGCACAGTGAATCAATTTTCTTAGCAGCTCACCTAACAATGGATTCAATGTAGTTTTTCCACTTCAAATCAGTTGAGAACGTGAGTCCGACAAAGAGCAATGAGTTAATTTCCTAGAGGATAGCATCAGCCATGGTAATGGAAGGCAGAGAGCAGTCTCTCAGATAATTAATGGAGAGAAGTTTAATTTTGGATGCGTGAAAATTGACAAGCCATCTTTTACCTCAGTTATTTATAGAAACAGCAGAGGGAAGCCACATCATGACGGTGAGAAAGTGACTAAAGTTGAGATGCCAGATCAGGACTGATAATATTGCTGATTCTTCACTGGATCTTATCAAAGAGCTCCAGGTAAATAGCAGGGACACCAGACCATATATGGCACCAATACTCTAAACATGGAGGAATGGTAGACTTATAGATATGCAAGATAAATTCTGGAGAGAAAAATTGCCTTGCCTGATACAGTGAACCAATTTCCTTAGCAGTTGACCTAGCGATGGATACAATATAGTCTTTCCACTTCATGTCAGCTGGGAATTTTGGTGTTTGTTGTAAGTTTTCTGTTCTACCAGACTCTTGAGGTCATCCTGGAAAATAACGTTTGTAGCTCGTGCAATCCGTCTGTTGACCTCTGTGTTTAGGGAAAAGGTGTCTGAAAAGGTGTAGTTGAACAATGTAACTATCTCCAGGACGTAGTTTATTTTGATGGTAATAGGCTGCTCAGTGCCTTAGACCATCATATTAGTTTTCAGACTGATGAACTGACTGAACTCTTGACAGGCTTTTAAAAAATTGTCCATTATTTACTGCAGTTGATCTGCAGAGAGTGCTGTCAGTGCTGCATCATCTATGAAGAGCATGTCTCTAATGAGCACCTCACAGACTTTGGACTCTGTCAGTTCTTGTGTGTATCTAGAAGCCATGGGTTTTGGTTGAATCACTGAACATGTTTCAGCATGAAGAAGACGCCAAATAAGGTAGGTGCAAGCAAACACAACTTTGCTTTGCACCAGTGCTGATAGAGAAAAGGCAGAGAGAAGCCACATTTTAGTGGTGTGAAAGTGACTGAAGTTGAGATGCTAGACAAGATATGGCACCAATATACAATGCACTGACATATGCCGTGTCATGCAACTTTTAAAGAATTAATTTCGAAGCTAATTTTAAGAGGGTTGCATCATACATGAGATATAAAATTAGTGTATGTACTGCTGGCCTTGGCTATGCTATTGGCTAAACCAGTGCTTCTCAAACTATTTGATATGGCAGACAGGCATTTCTTTTTCTCAATGTGTCACTTACCTGTAATATTTTGTGGTAATATTAATTTATAGCAGAAACGATATATATGAATATAATAAAAGTTGACTATTTTTTATCTCCATTTATTTTTCAAAAAAAAATTCAGTATCAAAACATATAAAAGTAATAAAAAAATAAGCCTTTTATTAACACAAAAACAAAAATTATATAACCTTAATCTTTGCAAATAATTCCTTAGCATGGTCTGGACACTGGCTGCGTACTGGTAGCTGATAGCTTGCATACCAGCACTAGTCCACAGACCACCACTTTGAGAAGCACTGGGCTAAACTATATATCTATTTCATGTAGACAAATTAGCTTCAAAATTAGGCCTTCAAAAGTCACATGACAAGTGCGTATATATGGTAATTCGTTTCACTATTCTTTGATTATGTTATTTTAAATACTTTGTTTTAATATGCATTTTTTAAAAGCAGTTTTATTTTTTTAATTTAACTTTTTAAAACTTTCATTTATTTAAATAAATAAATATTAACCTTTTCTTTAAATCTTTGGTTTTATTTCATAACATTTAAATGTATACCCTTTAAAAATTTTGCTAAGTTCACCGTGGTATTTTCATTTGCTCCTTCGAGTGCCATTACTTAAAAAGGTTGAGAAACACTGCTCTAACATGTGCTAAAGATCATCATCATCATCATCATTGCTACCTTGCAGGATGGTAGTGGTAAGATTCTTTTCTCTTCTGATGTATCCATACCATTTCAACCTTCTCTTCTTGATGGTAGATATGAAACATGTTAAGGTCTTGTTTCTTGTTTGGTGGTGTGCGCCATTTGCAATGCAGGGTCTTATCAGTAGAAACACACAAATTTATGTAAATTAGATTTATTGCTGAAAAAAAAAAGCATCCTGTGACTTTTGTAACTAATTTCATGAGAGTTCCTGGCATAGAAACCTGCAAGGTATGTAGATATATGATGTCCTGAGATTTTGATCGCAGACAACACTATCAGGAAGAGAAAAAAGAAAATGTAAAAATGTCAGATAAGTAATGGAAAGAAAGAAAAGAAAGAAAGAAAGAAAGAAAGAAAGAAAGAAAGAAAGAAAGAGATGAATTGTAAGGGGGGGAGTGATAGGTAGAAGGGAGAAAATAAAAGTAGAAGATGAAAAGGAAAGACTGAGGAGAAAGAAAGAAAGAAAGAAAGAAAGAAAGAAAGAAAGGGAGGAATTGTAAGGGAAGGGAGTGGGAGGTAGAAAGGAGAAGATAAAAGTAGAAGATGAAAAGGAAAGACTGAGGAGAAAAAGAAAGAAAGAAAGAAAGAAAAGAAAGAAAAGAAAGAAAGAAAGGGATGAATTGTAAGGGAGGGGAGTGAGAGGTAGAAAGGAGAAGATAAAAGTAGAAGATGAAAAGGAAAGACTTAGGAGAAAGAAAGAAAGAAAGAAAGAAAGAAAGAAAGAAAGAAAGAAAGAAAGAAAGGGAGGAATTGTAAGGGAGGGGAGTGAGAGGTAGAAAGGAGAAGATAAAAGTAGAAGATGAAAAGGAAAGACTTAGGAGAAAGAAAGAAAGAAAGAAAGAAAGAAAGAAAGAAAGAAAGAAAGAAAGGGAGGAATTGTAAGGGAAGGGGGTGAGAGGTAGAAGGGAGAAAATAAGAGTAGAAGATGAAAAGGAAAGACTGAGAAGAAAGAAAGAAAGAAAGAAAGAAAGAAAGAAGGAAGGAAACAGAAGAGAAGATGAAAAAAGAAAAAATCAAGACAGTATAGAATGAAAGAAAACAGTAGAATGTGAAAGAAAAGGAAACCATAAGAAGAGAAAGAATAGAATGGTAGGAGAAGAAAGAAAGAAAGAAAGAAAGAAAGAAAGAAAGAAAGAAAGAAAGAAAGAAAATGTTAAGTGGAAAAAAATGGAGAAAAACGGAGGTAAAGAGAAAAAGAAAAGAGTAAGAATGAAAGAAAGTAAAATAAAGGAAGATGAAAAAAGGAATCAGAGGAAGAGAGTGAAGGAGAATGAAATTGAAATAATTAAACAAATAAAAAACGGAACAAAAGAAAAAGAATTTGAAAAGATAATAAGGAAGAAAATAAAAAAAGAAACAAACAAACTGAACAGAAGAAAGAAAAATAAAAAATAAATGAAAAATGGAAATAAGGAAGAAAATAAAAGAAAGAAAATCGAAAGAGAAATAAAAAGAAATTAATGAAAAATGGAAATAAGGAAGAAAATAAATGAAAGAATGAAAAACAGAAATAAGTAAGCAAATAAAAGAAAGAAAGAAAGAATGAAAAAAGGTGAAGGAGAAAAATAAAAGCAACATATGCTAAATGGAAATAAGGAAGAAAAAAGAAATAAAGAAAGACTAGAAAGAAAAAGAAAAAGAAATTGATAAAGAAAGAAGAGAAGAAAGATAAATAAAAAGAAAGAAATACAAAACAGAACTAAGGAAGAAAATGAAAGAAGGAAAGAAAGAGAAGAGACGAAAAAAGAGAAAGAAATGCTGAATGGAAATAAGGAAGAAAATAAATGAAAGAATGAAAGAAAGAAAAGAGAAGGATGAAAAATAAAAAAGAAAGAAATGTGAAACAGAACTAAGGAAGAAAAGAAAAGAAAGAAAGAATGAAAGAAAGAAATAAGGAAAGAAAATAGAAGAAAGCAAAAAGAAAATTACAAGACAGTGAAGAAAGAGAAATAAAATGAAAGAAAAACAAAATAGAAATAAGGAAATAAATAAAAGAAAGAAAGAAAAAGATATGAAATAGAGAAAGAAACAGAATAGAAGAATGAAAAAGGTAAATAAAAGAAAGAAAGAAAGAAAGAAAGAGAATTAAAAAGAAAAAGAAATACTAAATGGAAGTAAGGGAGAAAATAAAAGAAAAAAAGAAAGAAAGAAAAATAAAAAGAAAGGAATCTAAAATGGAAATAAGGAAGAAAATGAAAGAAAGAAAGAGAAGAGAAGAAAGAAAAATAACAAGAACAAAATGCTAAATGATCACTGGCAGCTTTATCTTGTATCCAAGAATTTAATTTCTTCTTTTCTGATTGCTTCCTTTATGATGATGGCTTTGATGACTAATTCTTGCATGGAAGATCCGATGGTGTTGACTGCATACTAATGTTGGTAGAGGATGAGGTAAATTTTGTCAAGCCTTTTTCTCTTGTCATTTGACATCTTCCTTTTCTCTTCTGCTAGCATTAAAGGTTTTGGTTCCAATGGCGATGAAGCACTGCCAATTGATACAGTCTTGTGATTGTGTTTCAAATGATTTAGGCTCAAGTCTAGTGGCTTTCAGTATTGTTCTGAGTTAGTCCTTGTATCTTCGAAGGGGGCAACCCTGTGGTCTTTTCACTGAAGTGAGCTTACTGAATAAGACTTGATGTGGAAACCTTGACTCTTCCATTCTTGCTACATATCCTGACCATCAAAGACAATGTTTAGTGATCAGTAATTTGGTGCTTTGATTGTTGGCTCTTTTATAGAAACTACCCCACTTGTTGGCTATTGTAGTATGTGGAGGCTTCCTTACTTTGCTTGGTTCAGCAGCAACAGCAATGAAAGTAATCAGCAGAGTACAACAGGATGTCCCAGAACCCTTAAAAATGTTGGCCTCCTTCCCATTTTTCCATTTCAGCAGTGTCTATCTTTATGGCCAGTTCTTTTCAATTTTCCTTTTCCGTGATCTTTGCCGTCAAGGCCCATCTCAAAGAATTACTCAAGCCTTGCTGCAGAAGACATATAGCTCTGTCCTGGCAGCTTTTCTCCTCACAAAATGCTACTATTTTGCACTTTAATTCAACCAGAAATAAAAGCTGTTGAACTGTTATTTAAAGACATGGGTTTTGTTCATTCCACTCTCACTATCATGAATGCACACACAAATGCATCATCATCATCTTGCAGCCTCAGCCGAGATTGAACTCACCAATACTTTGATTGGTGTAGTTCATAATCTTGTCAAATAGCTAAATTCTTGATGCTTCGCTAGGGCTATCAAGGGTGTTTTTATCGTGACACCAACACTAAATGGATTGCCAACCAAGGCTCAGAGAGACTCCATTCACCCTCCTCTAAGAGCAGGTTTGAATTCAGAGTTTTACTTCTTCTAGACCAGTTGCCATCCAAGGCTATAGAACCCAGTCTGTTCTGCTATATACCCATAGCTGGAGGGAGAAGAAAGAGGATTCACACCTTTCTCAAGGGTGTTAGCACGTAAGTGAATGTAATGGATTCGACTGGAATTTGAACTCGGCTCTGCGATTCCTCAATCCAAGCTGCTATCCATTACTCCACTGTACCTCACGTGCAACTGGGAAAAAATCCTACACACTTTGGTGTTGGTCACATAGTAATTCCATTTAATGTTCAAGATTGAACAATGATTCTGTTGGTGAAAGTGTTCAAATTTTTGGATATTTAATGATATAGAGTCCAGGTTACACAATAGCCTCTATCTTCACGGCCAGTTCTTTTCAATTTTCCTTTTTGGTGATCTTTGCCGTCAAGGCCAACTCAAAGAGTTACTCAACCCTTGCGGCAGAAGACATGTAGCCCTGACCTGGCAGCTTGATTTCAGATTTCTTATTGTTCTTGTGGGAACCAGTAGAGAAATCTCCATTCAAGACACCTACCAATGGAAAAAACTACACATGACACTTGCTGTAGAAGACAAGGCCTGTCTGAGCAGCTTCACACTCAGATTTCTTGTTCTCTCCTCATGGGGACTAGTGGAGAAATCTCTCTACAAAACTACTACTCAAGAACTTCGTTAACTGGGAAACCCTGCTTTTTTCCCCACAAAATACTACTATTTTGCACTCTAGTTCAACCAGAAATAAAAGCTGTTGAGCTGTTATTTAATGACTTGGGTTTTGTACATTCCACTCCCACTGATTAGCACAAACACACACACAAATGCAGGAAACTGGGAAAAATTCCTACACTTTTCAGAACTTTGGTGTTGGTCACATAATAATTCCATTTGATGTTCAAAATTGAACAATGCTTTTCCTGGCAAAAGTGTTTAAATTTTTACATATTTAACGATATAGAGTTCAGGTTTCACAACTATATAGTAAAGTTGAAATGACAACAGCATTATAGACCATAATTTTTATTGTTAACTTCAGATCCTTGTTAAAGACGCATTTGGTTAGCTTTCCAAATGCTCCGTATGATATAGAAAATGCTCTACTTGTTCTAGAGGTGTATCACAAATGGTAATAACAAGGCTGCACAAGGACCTTGGTTTTCTTGCTGCTTACTGTTAGGACCAAAGTGATGGTAGGCCTGAGGAAAATTGTTCACTGACTGTTGAAGTTCTTTTTTTGAATGACAGAGGGAAGCATTTTCATCAGTATATTGAATTTATGAGATTTTTTATAGGTGTGTTAGACATTTAGACTGAAATCTACAAAAATTGAAAAGTCCTCCACTTTATCGATATCTGATGTCAACTCCTAGATTGTCTGGAGGAAGTTTGTGAAGAATTGCAGAGAATAGGTGTTAAGAAGTATCCTTGTTTTAGACTGCATGTAATTGGAAATTCCTCTGATAGCATGTTTTGGTGGAATGCACGTCCGGATATATTGCTTGAACCGGAGAGACAAAGTGGTTGAAACATCCAAAAATGATGAAGAGCTTTCCATAGAGAAGCTCTTGGAATGCTATCAAGAGCCTTTTACTAAATCATAGAAAACAAGGAAAAAGGAATTTTGTTGTTCTCTGCCTTTTCTGTGGGATTTGCCTTGTACAGAAAACCATGTTAATTGTACCACAAGAGGTTCAGAAACCACATAGAGATTCTGGAAGTATCTTTTCACAAATTTTTTTCTTGAAAGTACTTGCCGCCAGAAATATCTGGTGTCCTCCATAGATTCAACAGGCATTTCCGTCACCTTTTTTGAAGATCATTATGATTACTGCATCTTTCGTTTGGAACATGGGATTCCCACATCCTAAAAATTAGGTTGAAAATTCAGGTTTGCTCAGGTAAACATCCATTTCTGATTGGTTCAAAAGGGATATTTTCTGGACCTGGAGATTTCCTTGGTTTCCCTTGCATCATAGCTTGCTTGAATTCTTGAAAAGTCGGCCTCATATTCATCCATGGCCGAGGAGAATGATTTGGAACATTTCTCAGGAGGTCCTCAACTGTGGTTGAGTTTCTATTTAGAAGGGTGGAAAAAAATGTTCTTTTCAGTGTAGGGGTATGTCTTGTGGATCGGTCAGGGTGTTTGTATTGTCAGCTGCTAGAAGGGATCCAGTTGATGTTCGTACTGATTCAAATAGTTGTTTCATTCCAGCATAAAAATTTCTGAGATCACTTTCATCTGCGTAGCCCTGGAGTTTGACTGCTTTTTGCTGTCACCAATTCTCTTAGCTTTGTTTGACTCTTTTGGTTTCAGCTTCTAGAAAAACTTCTTCTTTTTGACTGGATCCTTTGTCTTATTCATGAGTCAGATGAACATTCTTTTTTGCCTTAATCACGTTTTGTTGATTTCAATAATGTTTTCATCAAACCAATCAAAACTGATGACAGTATTGTTACAGTTTTTTGTGTATATATATATATCTACTAGTGAGTTAGTCCAAATGCCTTGACTCACTTTATAGTCTACCAATAGAAGGTTAACCAATCAGAAGACATAGAACATTCAATCCATCGTGTATAAAGGCGGCCATTTTTGTTCACTCTACCTGAATGTCCAGTCCAGCTTGTCAGGCGAAGAGAACCAGAAGGATGAACTATGCTCTGCTACTTTTTACCAAAATATCCACTGCTAACCTGAACAACACTTTCCTACTGTCTTCGAAATATTCACTGCTAACCCCTGGATTCTATACTCGAAGACGACAGTCATGATGAATAACAACTATTTTCTGTTTCTGTGACTATATTAGAGATAGTTATCTATTCTTCATCAACAGATTGGTCATTGGTTGGATTAGAACTAAGTTCCTGACTTAATTTAGCTTCAAAAGTGGTTTCTTTGTCAGTGTTCTAGAGTTTTGAAATGTCATATTTTCTGTATTGATGTTGCATTTTTGCTTTTTTATGAACGGTGTTTCACATGTGTGTGATAGGGCAATAATCTCTCCGGACATCATAGGGGTATTAAAATCCACTTAGGTGATGAGGATGTCTCTTTTGTCAGTTGTCAGTTATCTCCTGTTAATTCCCCTCTCCAAGTTTTCCACTGCCTTAACCAGGTATTGAACTCACACTCTTTGGGTTCTGTCACTGGATCTAATTAACACCTTTATCCACTGTGCCATGTGTCCTTGAATTAACAGGAGATAACTGATAACTGACATCCATTAAACATGGCATGTGGAACTAGAACAGTGTACCCCAGTGAGTGAAATAAAGGGTTCAGTTTGACATTCTAACCACCTGAAGAAAGCCGGAGTGTACAACGGCCGAAACATTGTAATAAATATGGTGACAAAGATGAGGATAATAAATAATGTACATAATAACTCATCTCAGAAATATACACAGATACTCTTTTGTCTTGTTGCTGCATGATGGCATAGTCTATCAAATGCTAGTGTCTGGATTGAGGATACTTCTATATGGTCTTGAAGTGAGTTAGAAGTCAGAACTATGCATTTAGGATAAATAAATTGTGTTCCATGCATAGACATAATTATAGATGTCCATCAGAGTTGCAGTTTCTGATGCCTTTTTTATCAATGACATTTTCCCATAGGTGATAATCCTTTTCTACATTTGCACTTCCCTAATAATAAAAGTTTGTCCTTTGATGACATGTTGAAAATGATGTTACTTAATTGTTACTAAAACTGGTTCTTTGCTTTGCAATAAGCATCAAGAGTGGGCTCATAAACAGAAATGGAAGTGATGCAATTCTCTTTAGGAAGCGGTAAACAAAGAATCATAAACAGTTTTGATGTAATGGAATAACCCGGCACCACCATGAATGATTACATTATAGGTAGTAAGTACCTATAAAGTCAACTGTCTACGAGAGACAGGGTAGACGAGGGAAGAGTGAGAGAAAGACGATGCAGGCATGTCAGACCTTCCAATTAGCGGCACTCACTACTAGATTGACCTGTGCGTATAACTCTATTGTATTTCATATTGTACTGGTTGTATACAATAAACCTTTCTTCTATTATCCACCTGGTGTTCAAGCAATATATCTGGATGTGCATTCCACCAAAACATGCTACGAGAAGAATTTCCAATTACATGTAGACTAAAAAAAAAGATACGTCTTAACACCTATTCTCTGTAATGCTTCCTCCAGACAATCTAGAAGTTGACATCAGATATCAATACAGTAGAGGACTTAGCACAGAATATAACAAGTTTATTGACGGCAATTTGTGTTGCATGATGGTTTTGCGTGATGCGGGTTTTAATAGCAAAATTGACTACTTGTATTCTTCTCTTTCCTTAATTACTGACTTTCCGAAAGAATGTTTAGCGAGAACCAGTTTCTGTGAGCCTTTCTTCCTTGTAAATTTGTGTTTCACTCAGGGCTGTGATGTCCACATCTAATCTATCCAGTTCTTTTGAGACTACATTCATGCATCTTTCTGGTCTGTTGGCATTGTCATTATTGCGAAGAGTTCTAACATTCCAACGATCATATTGGTACTTGTTCCTAAATGGAAATAATAAAGAAAATAAAAGAAGGAAAGGAAAAAGATAAAAAAATATAGAAAGAAAAGGAAAAAAAAATGAAGAAAGAGGAAAAGAAAGGAAGAATTATAAAAAAAAATGGAAAAAAAAATATCAGACATGAAAGAAAGTATGAAATAGAGGAAAAGAGCAAAATTAATGGTGGAATTGGACATTTTGACACCGGATATTTCTGGCGGCAAGTACAATCAAGAAAAAAAAAATTGAGTATTTTTATAGAATTTCAAAATTTAGACTCTATGCAATATCCCAATTTTCATTCGATCAGCCAAAAATTTAAGTTTTTCAATTTTATCCTATTTATTATTAAAAAAATGAAATACACTTTATTTTTAGTCTTCTCAATATATATGAATGTTTAATCAATGCAAGAAAATCAGAAAACTAAATTTGGAGGGTGTGACACTTGAAGGATAAATTGAAAGCAAGCAGGACAGAGAAAAAAAAAAGCATAACTTCCACAGTGAGCTCGAGTAAATGCATGGTTGAGAGCTACAAAGGAAATGGTGGAGAGCCATGGTCGCTTACACTCAGAAGGGGCATGGCACATAGAAGGGGAAAGATGAGCATGTGTAAATAGATGGTAGTAAAAGATTTCAGAGAAATAACAAAAAAATATAAAATTTACTAAATGCCATAAAGAAGAGGAAATTGTGGAGAGCTATGGTCACCTACAGGGGCACAGCACATAGAAGAAATATGATTATGCATAAATGGCAGGTGGCAAAAAGTTTAAGAGAAATAACAAAAAAGAAAAAATTTACTAAGAGCTACAAAGGACAAGAAATTGTGGAGAGCCATGGTTGCCTATAGTCTGAATGGATTCGGCACATGGATGAAGACGGACAAGCATGTGTAAATGGATGGTCAAACAAAGTTTAGGAGAAATGAGAAAAATTGAAAATTTACTAAGAGCTACAAGGGACTGGAAATTGTGGAGAGCCATGGTCATATAGGCCCTAAAGGGACACATAGAAGAAGAAAGATGCAAGTGGATAGATAGAAAAGGTGTAGAAGATATAACAATAAGAGAAAATTTAAAAGAGCAACAAAAGAAGGAAATTGTGGAGAGCCATGATCACCTAAGTCCTGAAAAGACATGGCAAAAAGAAGAAGAAAGATAAGCTTTTGTAAATAGATGGCTGAAAAAGGTTTGGAAGAGATAAGAAAAAAAGAAAATTTCCTAAAAGCTACAAGGGACAGGAAATTGTGGAGAGCCATGGTCACTTACATCCAGAAGGGACATGGCACATTGACGTAGAAAGATGAGCTTCTGTAGATGGATGCCTGAAAAAGGTTTAGAAGACATAACAATAAGATAAAATTTAAAAAGAGCTATAAAGTACAGGAAATTGTGGAGAGCCATGGTCACCTACAACCTGAAGTGACACAGCACATCGACGAAGAAAGATGAGCTTGTGTAAATAGATGACTGGAAAAAGTTTAGAAGGCATAACAAAAAGAAAAAATTTAAAAAGAGCTACAAAGGACAGGAAATTGTGGAGAGCCATGGTCACTTATGTCCTGAAGCGACACAGCAAATAGAAAAAGGAAGATGAGCTTGTATAGATGGCTGGTTGGAAAAAGTTTAGAAGATGTAACAAAAAAAGAAAATTTAAAAAGGGCTACAAATTACAGGAAATTGTGGAGGACCATGGTCAATTATGTCCTGAAGAGACATAACACATAGAAGAAGAAAGCTGAGCTTGTCTAAATGGATGGCTGAAAAATGTTGAGAAAAGATAAGAAAAAGAGAAAATTTACTAAGAGCTACAAAGTACAGGAAATTGTGGAGAGCCATGGCCACTTATGCCCAAAAGAAGAAGACTGATGACCTTGTGTAAATGGATGGCTGAAAAAAGTTTAGAAAAGGTAAGAAAAACATAAAATTTACTAAAATCTACAAAGGTCAGGAAATTGTGGAGAGCCAATATCCCTTATATCCGGACATTGCACATATTGTGTAAATGGATGGCTGAAAAAAGTTTACAAGATGTAACAATAACAGAAAATGTAAAAGACCTACAAAGGACAGGAAATTGTGGAGAGCCATGGTCACCTACATTCTGAAGGGACATGTCATATAGAAGAAGAAAGATAAGCTTGTGTAAATGGATGGCAGAAAAAAGTTTAGAAGAGATAAGAAAAAGAGATAATTTACTAAAAGCTACAAAGGACAGGAAATTGTGGAGAACCATGTTCACCTATGTCCTGAGGGGACATGGCACATAGAGAATAAGAAATAAATGTGTAATTTATATATCAAATGAGTCATGTGGTGGGAGCTGGTTAGGTGCTCAATTGTACCTATAACCACACCCTGTTGTGACACTGAAGATGATGATAATGATGATTATTTCTTGATATTTAATCCTGTATCAGTGACCTCAGATTTCTGAAAATGGATAGTCACCTGGTGGGTGATTAAACACACTAATACAAAAATGCTTATAGTATAACCATTATGTAAAATATTGTACTGCTGAAAAAAAAAAAAATAACATAACGGGCATTCTCGATTACAATAAACATTAAATCTAAACTTGAACAGATGATATAATTATTCATTGAAATGAAAATTATAATAAATTTGTTGCCTAAACATATGTTGTAAATTGTAGGTGAAACACGCCAATACAATAACAGAGAAACATTTTATTCATTAAAAATAAACACAAAATACATTTCCATGAATAGATCGATATTATATTAGATAAACCCATAATTACAGGACTGAAAGAGTAATTAAATATATATATATATATATATATATATATATATATATATATATATCATTTATGGAGTTCACTGCTACTAACAAGCAGAATATATATATATATATATATATATAATTTCTGTAGTTCACTGTTACTAACAAGCAAAATATTTTTCTCCTGATGATGGCCATGCTGCCCGAAACTAGTCAAGGAATCAAATTGAAATAATAAAAACGAAAGAATATTAATATACAATCCAGTGTGTCTGAAGATTTTAATATTTTTTATTGTTCAAAAGATATATATATATATATATATATATATATATATGTATTCTTTTTTTAATCAATTTCACCCCACGTAAGGCAGTAAAGCCACTAAGACACAAGGGGTTATTGGGTGTGAAAGAATTAGAAAACAGAAACATTATGAAGGAGTGAGAACAATAGAAGAGTAATCAGGAAGACAGTAGATAACGATTGACATTGCATTTAAATTTGTTTTTTAAACATTTCACCCCATGTAAGGCAGTAAAGCCCCTAAGACACAAGGGGTTACTGGGTGTTAAAGAATTAGAAAACAAACATTATGAAGGAGTGAAAAAAACAGAAGCGTAATCAGGAAGACAGTAGATAATGATTGACATTGCATTTAAATTTTTGAAGATCAAAGTTGTCTTGAAAGCAAGAAGCTGGAAGAGAGTTCCACAAGTAAGAATTGTGAGAAAAGAAACTGTTAGCATAGAACTTATGATAACATCTATCTAATTCAACTGTAAATCAATGGGACCTTCTTGCCAATCTAGTACTGCACTTAAATTCATAAAGTCTAGATGCCCTGGTGAAGAGTTCATCCAGTTGTCATGAGAATATTTACAGAAAACGTACAGGCAGACAATTTTACAGTGGTAGGAAAGTGGCTGAAGCTGAGATGCCAGATCAGGACCAATAATATTGCTGATTCCACTTTGGATTTTATCAAGAATCTCTAAATATAAAGCAGCAGCACCAGACCATATATGGACACAATAATCTAAGCATGGACAAATTGCAGACGTATAGATGTGTTCGAGAGATTCAAGAGAGAAAAATTGTTTAGCATGAGACAGTGAACTGAATTTCTTAGCAGTAGACCCAGCAATGGATTCAATATAGTCTTTCTACTTTATGTCAGCTGAGATTGTTAGACCAAGAAGGCACAATGAGACACTCTCCTGGAGGTTAGCATATATATATATATATATATATATATATATATATATATATATATATATATATATACACCTATGTTAGGAGTGCAACTTAAGTTTTATTGTTTTACCAACTCATCAGGCACTAGATATTACTTATGACTTTTTAAAAAAAATAATATACTGTGTGTAATAGAAAGAACTTTAAATTACTCATAGATTCACAGCTTAAATTTAAAATAATTTAAATATAATATTAGGATGTAAATACAGAAAATAGTTTGTATATAAGGGGCCATTATAAAAAAAGAAAAAATTAAAATCAAGTTAAAAGTTTAAAAGAGGAACGCTGGCTGACACACTGATTGATATTATATGTTAAAATGGTTAAAGGGGTGTAATCAATATAAAACCTAAAATATGGGAAGTGAAAGTGAAATTTGAATAATATATTTATCCAGGATTGCAATATTTAAAAAAAAACAATTTCTTTCTACAATCTAGTATTATTTAGTTAATAAATGAAATGAACTAATGCTAGGTTGCAATCATAGAAGGAAATTTCTCTTAAAATATTTCAACTATTTGCCCAGAGCTGGGTCCCTAACAGGTGCTACCACCCCGGTTCAAGGTGGACCTGGGAACACCAGCAATTAAGAGGTGGTTCCACGCTCCTCAAAACCTCCTCATCAGAGGCCTTGCTGCTGGACATAGTTTATTGTCTTACCCAAAATGCTGATGCAGTTTATCGTCTTACCCAGGACAGACCAGATTTGGAGGGAATTTGAATATACATGCAAACACACATGTATGTAAACAAATGTATTTATGCATATGTGTATGCATATATATTCAAAAATCTTTCAAACACTTCCCTTAATTTTTGGGTTCTGATATATGGATAAATACAACAATGATTTTGAATTATCTCCCTTTCATCCCACTAAGATTATCTCTTAATATTTTATATAATTTAGGTTTTTCATTTTTCATTAATTTCTGTAGATTCCCATTGAATCAAACTTTAGCCATGTGACCATTAAGATATAGGTTTTCTTTCACTCCTCCTACCCACTCCTACTTCTATAATATAATACCCCACATTACTTCCTGTAACTATGTCATTTCCTCCTCTCTGGCACCTCTGACTTTCTCTCTCCCTTTCTTTCCCCAACTAACCAGACCCATGAAAAGTCCTGCAATTGTTCACCCAGTGTCCAATACAGTACACATTTTCCACATCTTATTG